ATGTCAACATTGGCTACCAGAAATCGCTTACCCCACCTTTAAAGTCATTGTTGTTCCACTGCTGTTCTTCAATATCTTCTTTTGTGTTCCATGAAAGTTAGTAAGTCATACAGATTTGGAATGACATGAGGGTCAGTAGATATGCAATAGACTTTATTTCTGTCCATCATAGCCTCATTTTCACTTATATTAAATCAAATATGGCGTCCACCCTCACTAAAGTCCCTCTACGTCACTTTGTGAGTGTGTGTGTGTGTGTGTGTGACTATTTTGAATCAATAAGCCCATAAAAAACTCCACCTTTGTATGTACATTCCCATCTGCATGAGCAATCCAACCGAGCACAAACCCACCACAACATCCACATCCTTTCTTCATGGAGTTCTTCTTCTCCATCCTTCCTCTCCCTTTATCGTTTTCTGACCAAGCTCCTCTGTTTGTCTCTTTGCAGCGAGTCCTCACGCCACGCCGTCAAGTCTTCATTTCCCGACATCGCCAATCATCCAGCAGCCTGGCTCGTACTTCCCCCACCACGCCATCCGCTACCACCCCCAGGAGACGCTCAAGGAGTTTGTCCAACTTGTCTGCCCTGACAGTGGTCAGCAAGCTGGACAGGTGGGCTTCCTTAATGTAAGAAGGAGCATTTTTGTACACACTCCCACTAAATGTTTTGTATCCATATAGACACCTAGTTGGCTAGTTTGTCTTGTTTGTAGTGACTTTTGAACATTTGTACAGTGCAATTGATGTTAAAAACATCCGTACAACAGGATGGATAGGATTATACACAAGATTAGCACTTATACCCTAAATTTACTCCACACAAGTGTCGCATTCTCAATGCTGCCACAAGAGGCACTATGGCAGGCATTAGCAAAAACTGTCTTCTTCTATGGTTAGTTTTTTCCCCAATTACTTTAATGGCAGATGGCATCTAGTATCTTAAATTAGCTGAAGTTAGTTCAAATGTTTCTCGCTAGCTACCTGAATAACACATTAAGTGTAATTGAGAAAAATTTTAAGCTAACTCTAGCGCCCCCCATTACTACTGCACATTAAAATATTAAAATTCAACAAATAATAATAATATTTGTAAGTATATATTTAATTATATTTATTAATATAGCATTTAAACTATATATTGGAACAATCAAAAAACAACATATTTAAAAAAAATTATAAAATAAATACAAAATATTCATATATATAAACATTCTCGAAAGTAAATAATAAAAGGTAACCTAGCAATTTAAACTACAAATTACATGACAATATGAATGTGATACAGAAATCCCAGTCCTTTTGAGCTCTGGGCAAACTGATGTGGCCCTGATGGCTGGAGGAGAGACAGCGAGTGGTTTGGGTCATAGATTATGATCGGTGAAGTGCGCACAGCAGCAGAATTTTTTATGACTAGGAGCAGCGAAAAATTGCTGAGCACATTCTCCTGACGCGCACGTGTGATACTTCTGTTGTGCCTGCTAGTCATATGTGTCCGGAAGTTGATCCCAGAGTGTGTTTTCATGTTTTTTATGTCCTCTTTCTATCCAGCCCAACGGGAGCAGTCATGGGAAGGTGCACAACCCGTTCCTGCCCACTACCATGTTGCCACCTCCTCCGCCTCCCCCAATGGCGCGACCCGTGCCCCTGCCCGTGCCAGACTCCAAACCTCCCTCCACCTCCACCGAGGGAGGCGGCAACTCCCCCACCTCTCCAAGTGAGTACTACAGCCCATCACCTGCTGTCACACACACACTCAACACTTGATCCTGAACGTAAAGTGTCTCAGGTTTCCCAAGCATGTGAAAGCTTATCTTCAGTGTTTTTCATAATAAATAGAATTTCCCATCAAACATACGCAGTGTCCGTATCAAGCCTTCCTCTCAACAGCTGTATTGCTCCAGATACAATATTGATATCGCCGAGCACGTCTCCCGCTCAGCGCTTTGTCAGCGTGGGCCCCAGAGACCCCAGCTTTGTAAATATCCCTCAGCAGCCTCAGGTGAGTACACATTCACAGATCCACCGAATCCCTGAAAGTCCATCAAGAGTGCTTGTTGTCTGTCATAATAGGCTTTCAGCACTGTTATGCCAGCTCATATAACTCGCTCACTCGCTGTGAGAGCTCATAGCTGATTTATTGTGTGTAATTGGCATGTTCAGACTCGGATTAAACGGCACGGTGGATTTATACCCCTCACACATATGTACAATCGCTTGCATGCTACAAATTAGTTGTCATATGCTACAATTTATAATTTGACATGGCTGTTACAACATTTGGTCATTTTGAGGTTGTCAAGATCAGCCAATAGCTGATAAAACAAACTGTTAATCTTCAATGAACATTAACTCAAGCATAAACAATTTATTATGAGTCAGTTCTATGTTGAGTAAATGTTGTTTAAACGTTAGTTCGTTTTTCGGTTATCAGTTTGTGTATTAGGCCTTTAAATCCAGTATTGGTACCGCAACTAATATATTAACGGAATAGTTCACCCAAAAATGAAAATTCTGTCACCATTAATCTGTACAAGTTTCTGTTTTCTGTTGAACACAAAAGATGATATTTTGAAGAATGTTGGTAACCAAGCAATTAACGGTAGCCATTGACTTCAATAGTATGGAAGAAAATACTATGGACATCAATGGCTACCGTCAACTGTTTGGTTATCAACATTCATTTTTGGGTGAACTATCCCTTTAATACAAATTGAAATGACTGTTACAACATTTGGCTGTTTTGAGGTGATCAGTCGATAACCAATAACCAGTGTTGCCAAGTCCGTGGTTTTCCCGTGGAATTGGGCTACTTTAACACTGTTGTGTTAATGTTTTCCATGTCCGCGGGTTGAAGCGACTACAATAACATAATATTTATCCCCTGGAATGCAAATTTAAGCAGGGGAACCCAGCCAAAAACGTATTTTACCCCCCCGCAAAGCGATTTTTAACTGGGGACCCCCTCGAAACACAATTGGGCTAGTTTTGAGTAGCGATTGGTCGGGTTTTCTTGTGAAAACCTGGCAACCCTGCCAATAACATAAGCTGTTAAACTTCAGTGAACATTTACACAACGTTTACTCAACATTTACTCAAGCATAAACGTTTTGTGATACAGAACAGACTTAGCAAGTGGCACAAAGCTAGTCACTTTAGCTCTCCTCGTGCTAGTTCCTAAGTCAGTTCTGTATTACAGTGTTAAATGTTGAGTAAATGTTGTGTAAACGTTCGTTTAAGTTTTAATGTCAAAACATATTTAGACACTTAAGCCTTACCTAAAATGTATGAGTGTACTTGCAATAGATATAAGATTTCGAACCAGCTAGCATTTATTTTATAACTAAAACAGCATGAACACAAATTTCAAGCAAACCTTTTCATTTAAAGTAGGTATCAAATTATCAAACATAGATATTAGGGATGTGCATCTCCATAACTGAGGCCAATGCGATACGCATCTCGATGCATAGCCTACGATACATACAAATATATTAGAAATTATGCATCATGATACAAATGCCAACTTCTATCCGATGCACAATATTTTTTACTTTTATGCTAATGCACCAATGCGAATCGGTGAATCTTACCATCCCTAATAGATATTATATTAGTCTGTAGTTATCATGAGACATTTAAAACTCATATCGCTCAACAGCTACTGGTAATATATTCATAAATGGACATCAGGATCACCTTGTTAATGTAAATGAACTTGTGTTTGTTTTTTGCAGTCGTATAAATGCTAATACCTCTGAAATGTAACCTTAATCATCACACACACATATCTGCAATGACAAATACAGCCTGTACCGCCACCTGCACTCGCACAAACAGACAAAAAAAGAGCACGAGTTACCTCTGTAAATGCAGCTATAACACACCAACACACACACAGCTGAGATGATACCACGCTCATAGAGAAACGCTTAAGACTGGATTGGATCAGAGAGAGATTGTGTGTATGTTTGTCTGTGTGTGTGTGTGTGTGTGTGTGTGTGTGTGTGTGTGTGTGTGTGTGTGTGTGTGTGTGTGTGTGTGTGTGTGTGATATATCCGGAGGCCGGCAGCAGCCTCCCATCGATTTATTGACTGTGTCGCAGGCCGCAAGACACGCATCCCCCAGTAGAATGGAAGCAGGTGTTTGTCAGGCCGGCTGGGAGGGGAGCGGGGGGTTGTTATTATTTATTGTTTGTATTTATTTATTAATCCTTCCCGCCTCTGCCTCCCCTTCTCTCTCTCTATCTCTCTCTCTCTGTCCTTCTCTCTATCACCTTTTCCTCTCTCCCTCCCTTTTTTTCTCGAGCTCATTTGGTGGCTAAGGTTCTGTCTTTCTATTTGTATATTTATCTGTGTGTACTAGATTTCTACTGCTATTTATCTGTTCTTATGCTTGTTGCCTATTTAGGGGTTTGACAAATGGAGTTGTTATAGTTTTTTCAGTTCATTTTTGTTTTCATTTTGTAGTCCAGAGCACATAATTGCACTTCAGTTTTTGTTGTTTTGTAAACTTTTTGTAGTTTTTAGAGTTTTATTTTGGTTAAAAATATTTTTTTAGTTTTTTTGTTGGTCATAAATTGTTGTACTGTATCAGTATATGTATATAATATGTATAAAATATAGTAATGTATATAATAAAATGTATGAATAAATATATATATATATATATATATATATATATATATTGGGATAAAAGCACGTCATTTTTAAGTTATCGATATTAAATAATATCAATATTAAATTGATATTAAACAATATTTATTGTATACAGACACACGCATTATTATCTTTTCTGATTCAATTCATATTTGGTTTTGTTTTATTCTCTAACACTCTGAAACATTATAGTCGCATTTTAGGTTTGTTGTTGTTTTGTAAACTTGAGTTTTGATTTTTAGTTAATGAAAATATTTTTTGTTTTCATCATACTATTTTAGTTTGTAACGCACTAACACTCTTAAACAGTCGCTTTTGTTTCAGTTCCTTTTTGTTCTGTTTGTTTGTTCTTTCATTTGATGTTCAGGTCGCTTCATTTTAACATCGTAAAACAATGTTCATGTGAAAATGAACAAATAATCAGCCTTTCAAACACCTTAATTGATGCAAGCAGGTGCAAGGCAAAACACTGCTTGTTTGCTAATTTCATTATACAGTACTTATTTAAAAACAACTTTATCATTTTACTACATATCTGAAGTTGAAGTTTAGGCCATAACTTTGGTTTTTAAATAACTATGAGGATTTTCGCAAGCTATTTATCGTTCTATAGAAGCGAGGGCAGCGAAACTCTTAGATCAGCTGCGAGAGACATCTCCCGAGTGCCGTCACCCACTGTGTCAGTGAACTCTTTGAGGCTCTGTCTAGCCAGACAGTGATTGGACTGTGAGTTTATATTAAAGCACTGTATGAGTCTCAGACTGGCCATATTGACGAGCCTGTGACCCCATGGCAGGGTTCGGTCGCACCATTTCATTGGCCTCATAAGCTGGTGCGGACCACCCTGGGGCGGACAGGACAAAAGTTACCCGCGGTGGCCGACGTGTTTCGGGGGTGGGGTACAAAAGAGAGCGAAAGTGACAGGCAGACGAGAATGATGTGACCCTAACTGTAAACATTCCTAGTGGCCCAGCCATGGTAACCAGGCAAAGAGTGAGAGACGGGACAGTATGATGGAGGGGTCTGCCATGGGAGGAGGGGACGGGAATGAAAGAGCAGGGTGGTGGGAGGGTGGCAGCGCCCTCAGGGGTTTGCTGCCATGGGAGCTGTTGGTGCTCGCCCTCTCAGATGGAGAGGTTGGCACCACATGCAGAGATATACAGACGCAGGTTTGGGAGCAGAAGCATCATGCCTGTTCAAACTGAAGGGCCACTTTTTAGCCAAATAGATTTAGAAGGCAACTTCACACACAAAAAAAAAAAAAGTATATACATATACACACATTTTTAATAAATCTATAGATAGAGAGATAGATGGAATATATATATATATATATATATACTCGCATACATATATATATACAGTAATATATATGTTTTTATATTAAATACTTATTATTTTAAATATAAATGAAGCATTTTATGCAGTGTATTTGTTACACATTATGTACAATATATAATTGCGTACAAATTGTATATGCATTATGACATTGTATATCAAATTAAATAAATAATTATTACATAAAATAATATTTGAAAAATGTGAAGAAAAAAAAACATTTTTGTAATAAATAAAATATGTTTTTAATAATTTGTGTAATAAAATATTTAATATAAAAATACAAATTTTTTTTGGAGTAATACAAATTATAAATGTTTTTATGTAATAAAATATACATCATATATATATTTGAACCCTGATCTGCTTGCATGCTTGACAAAAACCAAAATCAATCAATTCTGATCAAAAAAGCACAGAAAAACTGCAAACACACATGCACAGGCCCATAATCTGCGTTTAATTGCGCAGCGTGCAGGGACTGTAGCCTGACCCTACAGGGTCCCAAAGCAGTGCAGATAAAGCAATGATTCATAAACAGCATTTTTAATCAGAATGCGCTGGGAGAAACTGTGTGTGATGGGGAGCGCAGATAGGCACTGCAATGTGACATGCACACACACACACACACACGCAGGCAGTAAATCGGCCCCATAGAGGCCGAGATGAGAATGCTGGCACCCTTGGCTTTTATTCGCTTCCTATAAACGTTAGCATGTGGGAGAGATAACATCAGTAATTGACTCTTGTCCTCCACGTCAATTTGCCGTAGTTAAGCATCTGCGGAGACGTCCCCACAAAACACGCCTAACGATTATTACTCTAATTCATAATAAATGTTCATTCCAGAGACAAAGAAACCCCAAAAGCCTGCAGGGAAGGCGATGCCTCCTTAATAGTGTTGTTTAAACTAATTTTCACCCACGTGCGTTTCCTCCCAAAGCCAGAAGAGGGCAGCGCGCTAGACTGCCGGACACACAAATTAATTACCCAAGATTGATTTCAG